GAGCCGCTCTATGGCCCGCCCCTCTCTGTGGTTTGGAGGCGAGCGCGCTGCCGCTCTAGCCACACCTCTCTATGGTTGGAGGACCGAGCGTTGCGACGCGGGTTCGAGTCCCCCTCCCTCCTGACCCCGCCCCCGGTATCCATCGGGACAGGAATCCCACACCGGAGCGCGGGAATGTCCGCGTTTGGCGGCTGCACTGTAACCCAGGAATTCCACACCGGAGCACAGGAATGGCGGCTGCATATGCAGCGCCGAGCTGGGTTACAATGTAAGGAGTGCAGCCCTCACACCGGGTGGGCACAAACACCCGGCAGCCTCTGGAAAGCACATCCGATTTATTCCTTTAGTGTTTCCAAAAATATTCCAGTCCCAACCGTGGCTGTAGCAGTGAAACACAGGGATGCCCCCCAAGCCTCCTGCTGACTCCCAAAATCCCAAGGGCCGGACCCCAGAGAAAGGATGAGCCGGAACCGACGCCGACAGAGCCGGTGGAGTGCAAGGAGACTCCAGGGGATCCATCAGCCACGGAAGTGGGCAAATTCCTTGCGGAGCCAGAGCGAATCCTGGTAGAACAGGGGGTCTCCCAAGTGCACAGCTGTCCTCTTGTAGAAGTAGCAGTAAAGCACGGCCGCTGCAGGGAATTTTGGGATGAGAGAGGGCCCCCAGCACCCCCAAAGGATGTGGGATCCCACCCTGATCCTTGGAGTCCTTACCCAGCCTCTGGAAAACGAACAGGGTCTGAAGGCCTTCAGTCCAGATGAAGCGGCTGGAGTCACGCCAGCGCAGGTTCTGAGGGGGTTGGAAAACTGGGAGTAACCCCTGGAGCAGTTTTGTTGAGCCCTCCCAGACCCCTCACCCCATTCCAAAGGTTCTGAGTGGGATGGAGGGACATCAAGGCAGGAATTACACCTGGAGAAGTTTGGGAAGCTCCCCACCCCAAAGGTTAAGCAGCTCAGGGGATTTAGGCATTGAGCCCGGACCTATTCCGGCTTCAGACTGCAGATCCCTGCAAATCCCTGCAAATCCCCTTCCTGGACAGCGTGGGCAGCACCAGAGCAGCTGCTGTGGCTCCTGACCCCCCAAACATTCCCTGTGCTCCAGGGCAGCAGGAGGGAGGGAACTCCAGGAGGTGTCCAGGGGATGGGAACTGCTCCATTGGGAAGGAGCTAGGAAGGAGTTTATCCAGGAAAGAAAAGGGGAAGGTGCTGCCAGGACAGATCCAGGAGCCTGCACAGCCATCAGAGCTGTGGGAAGGGAAAGGGCTGCCCCCAGGTATAGGGATTAATCCCAGAAAAAGCAGGAGCTGCTAGCACAGGCTTTTCCTGGGGAAATAATGAGCTGGGATGGGGCTGGCATTGGGCAGGACACTTCCAGGCTGATGCCAACCACAGGGTGATGGAATGGGACATCTTCCATGGGACACCTTCCAGAGAGAAACCATGAGAAAGGACTGTGGGAAGCTGGGGGTCATGGAAAAAGCCCTTGGGAGAATCCAGCAGCTGTGCCCACGCCATCCTACCATAATCCAGACGTGGAAGGAGATGCTGAGTGCCAGGTAGGCTGCAGAGAGCAGGATGGTTCCCTTGAATTTATGGAACAGGAGGTTGACCAACCCCGCCTGGAACACGTAGGTGTTGAAGAACATGAGGAAGACGATGATGACGTTGAAGACGATGGCGATGTCCTGGATGCTGCCGGGAGAACAGAGGGATTGTGGGGTCCTGGATCTCCTGGATCTGCTTCCAGGGCTTTCCCCACCTTCCCTGTACTCACATGAAGAGGACGAGCTGCACGGCCGGAGCCGTGCGCAGCAGCTCCGAGAAGGAATTCACAAAGAGGTCGTAGGAAAGCAGCAGGAACTGCAGGAACAGCACCAGGCTGTAGTTGCTGGGCTGGAGCATCCTCCTTCCTGGGGCTTGCAGCCCTCAGCCCCAGCATTCCCAATGGATCATGGCGCTGAGGGGGATCAGCAGGGCCTCTCCCGACTTCCCAAACCTGGAGGGGGAACACGGGGATTGGGATGGATCCCAGAAACCAGGAAAACCCAATGAGCTGCATCCTCCCTCTCGTCCAGTGTCTTCCTTGCCCCTGAAATGCACCCCAATCCTGATGTGAGGCAATCCAGGGACGAGTGAGACGTGCCGTCCGAGGAAGCAGTGTCCAAGCAGGTTATTCCTGGCTGTTCCCAGCTCCGTGGCCAGTTCAGAGCAGGCTTGGGCATGTCCCATTCTGGGCACAGGGAGAGAGGAGTGAGGAGAGACAGACGGGAATTTTTGGACACCGGAGCAGGTACAGCCCTCGTGGGACACATATCCCACGGGAACAGGCCCCTCAGGGATCATCCTGGCTGGAGAGGGACGGAGGGGACAGGGATTTCCCGTGTCCCGGCAGGAAAGGGCTGTGCTGGGGGCTGAATTCCCTGAGGGGGTGACATGGTGACAGACGGGAGTAAAGGGGCTGGGAAAGGACGGGAAGTAGCTGGAAACGCGGAGGAAGAAACGCTGGACATGGGAGCGAGAAACTGACAGACGGGAGGGGGGAAGGAGCTGGATATGGGGATGAAGAGAACACTCTCTGCCCCTCCAGATCCCGCGTCACTCCGCCCCTTCTCACAGCCACCACTGCGGAGACCCCGGGCCCCCTCTCGCCGCTCTCTCCCCCTGTCCCTGCCCCCTCCCCGCTCCCGGGGCCGCCCCCGCGATACGCCCAAACCCCGCTGGGTGCCGGAGGTCCCGGTCCCGGCGGTCCCGCTGGGTCCCCGCCGTGCCCCCGCCCCAGGCGCTCACCCGCCGCCGCCATCTTGGTCCCCATGGAAACGGCCGCCAGAGCCGGAAGTGAAGGCGGAAGTGGAGGCTGGAGGACCCGCGGGGCCGCTCTGGCCGCCGCTCCCCTCTGTGGCAGCGCATTGGGGTGCGCGGGAAAACCATAGAGATGAGCCGGCAGAGCGGCGCTCGCCAAGATGGCGGCTCCCAGTGACGAGGAGGGGGCGGTGGGACCCAGGTACAGCCCCGGGGTTGGAAGGACCGGTGGGCGGCTCCGGGGTTGGGAGGGGCCGAGGGACCCCGTGGTCTGGGTTTTGGGTGGAGTCAGGGCCGGGTGTTTTGTTCCAGGTCCAGGGGAGTCTGAGGTTTGGGGGGGGGCTGTGAAGACACGTGTTCCCAGATTTCGGGGAGTCATGGCACTGAGTGCCCCAGGTTTGGGAGATCCGTGAGTCTCTGTATCCCACATTTTGGGGAACCATGGGGCCGCGTGTCTCCACCCGTTTCCTGTCACTATGTCCCGTGAGGCAGCTGATTTGAGGGTGTCGGGACATCCCCCGTCCCCGGAGGGGACAGAAATACCCATTTCTGGGGGCACATGCAAATCACATGCAAATGAGAGCTGTCAGGCTCCTGCCAGGGGGACCATGACAGCTGACACTGAGAGCCCCTTGCTGCCATTCCCTGGGCTGCCGTGCCCAGGAATTCTGCTCTGCATGTCCTGTTCCATCGCTGGCGTCCGTCCCAGTCCAGGGCACAGCTGGACTCTGGTCACCCCCTCAGCGTTCCCAGTTCCCCTTTCCGTGGTTCCTCCTGGCAATGTCAGAGAGCCCCAAAAGGCCCCTCGATCACCCCCAGGTGCCACCATCCTGGATCCATCCCTGCCACCATTCCCAGACTGGAAAGGAGCTGGGCCACCATCTGTGGCTGGGAAGCAGCTCCATCCCTGTCACCTTCCCCAGGCTGGGAAACAGCTGCCCCCCCACACCCTTTTGGGGCTCCCAGTTCCTCTTTCCGTGGCTCCTCCCTGGGACCGCATCCGGAGCCTGAGCCGGCTCCTCGCTCACCCACAGGTGCCACCACTGCTCCCCAGCCATGCTGGACGTGCCCTTCCTGCCCTTCAGCGCCTTCCTGGGAGCGCTGGGACTGCTCTGCGTGGCCATGGTGGGCACCTGGTGCCAGCACTGGCGCGGGGGCTTCTCCCTGGACGGCAGCTCCCGCACATTCAACTGGCACCCAGTGCTGATGGTGACGGGCTTGGTGGTGCTCTACGGCGCAGGTGAGCAGAGGGAGCGCGGGGATCCCGCCATGCCTCCTTCCTGATGTTTTTTCCCCTCACAGCTGCCCTGGTTTACCGCATTCCCCACACGTGGAGCGGCCCCAAGCTTCCCTGGAAGTTGCTGCACGGCACCTTGGCTTTGGGAGCGTTCGTCCTGACCGTGCTGGGGCTGGCAGCCGTGTTCTGCTTCCATAACTCCCAAGGGACGCCCAACATGTACTCGCTGCACAGCTGGATGGGGCTGGCAACTGTCCTGCTCTTCTCCTGCCAGGTGGGAATCCCTCCTGCATCCCCCCATCCCTCCGGCATCCCGAGTTTTCCACCCTCACGTTCTCTTCCCACAGTGGGCGGCGGGTTTTGGAGCGTTCCTGCTGCCCTGGGCTCCCACCTGGCTCCGGGCACTCTACAAGCCCATCCATGTTTTCTTTGGCTCCACCATCCTCATGCTGTCCGTGGCTTCCTGCATGTCAGGAATCAACGAGAAGCTTTTCTTCAGCCTGTGAGTGTCAGGGGCAGGGGGGTGGGCTTGGGAAGATCCCTCACAGGGATAGGGGGGCACTCAGGATGTGGATTTGGGCTGGATCT